TTTCTGCAAAAGATGACAGAGTAAGTACTTGTCAGGAGGCATCCTAGTGCAGTTGCAAGCAATGTGTATTAGGAGTTGACAGATATAAATAACTTATTAGAGTCACACATATTTACCCACTTGAAAACCCAGGAATTATGATTCCAACACACAACAAAATGTGGATAATGTACATTCTTTGGAAAAGAATAACAAACCGTAAACTTTCAAAAACAGAATTGTCTCTAAAATATCTGTGTAATATACTAGCTTAGATTCCAAGAAAATAAACACCCATCTTTTAGAAGCAGAACGTTTAAACTCCCATATTTGCACATTATCTTTTCATGTTCCCAGTATGTCCATGTTGTGTGATGTTTCTTCCACTTTGAGGGAAGGAGTGAGAGTAAAGCATTCATTCTTCTGGGTGACAATGAGTGAAGACTTTTCAAAGGTATCTTGGTTTGCCTAAGGAATGGAAAATGCAGTCCTGGCTTTAGGTGCCTTCTCTAACAATCCTGGGAAGTTAAATAGTTGAAGGCGTCATGGTTGCTTTGAAAGCCTGACCTTTGCAAGATCACTCATAGAAGAACATTTTACTTAAGTCAACAGGATTTATTCAAATAGTCAAGAATATTCCACCAAGAAAAGAAAATCACTTAAAAAAAGAAAAAGAACTTTCTCTGACCTGCAGGGTGCAGCCATCCCTGGTCTTAGCATTCCCACTTAGCTCTTGTCTCATTATGCACTGCCCATTTCAGCTGCACGCCATCCCTACTTCCTTTAAAAAGAGTCATTATCCTAGATGCTGTGCTATCAGGTGGACTGTTGTAAACCATCTATGTCCATTAACAATTCTATGAAAAAGGGGTGAGAAGGGCAGTTAATTTAATTAACAAGTTGCTTTTCCACCACAAAATAAAAGTAATCATCGCCACATGATGCTACTACCTTGAAAGCCAATTTAAACCAACAGCTCTAAGTAAGCTAGGTCTAAAGTGCTTAGAGGCGAGGAGAAAAATGATACATTTAGTGGATAAGATGTGAATATCCTCCTCCAAGGAGAGCTCTCAGTGCACCTCTTAGCTTGTAGTGGAGTTCTTTCAGATTGCTAAAATATTGGATTCAACACAATAAATAGAGATAAGGTCTTAAAGATGGAAATAAGAAGAAAGAAAGAAAGAAAGAAAGAAAGAAAGAAAGAAAGAAAGAAATCACAAGTAGACAGCCATTCTTGAAACCCATAGAAAAATATTTAAAACTCATACAAGGTCTTTTCTTGTCCTTTTATTGGCATACGCTGTAACTCATCCTTATGTTTGCTACTGCTTTCATTATTTGCTATCTTTCTTCTCCTCACATACATTATGAGTCATTTCCTTTTACCATTCTAACCAGAGAGTTTCCAAACTGAAATCTTAGAAGTTGTAGTTAATGATATTCATGTCTCCCAATGGCTAATATCTTCTCCATTTTTCATTATACTTTCTATTATGATGATGTTCTGACAGCAGGATTTTGTTCATTGTCAATAGTTTCCATATAGGAAAAAATCCAGCTTTAAGCTTACAAAATTGGTAGTTCTCTGTGAACAACTGCATTTTAATTGATTTATCAGTGCATTTACCAACTGACATTAAAGGAAAGCTCAAGATGAACTCAATAAAGTTCTTATTAGTAACCAGGAAGGTACAGGATCATACTGTTTGTGCCTCTTCTAGAAGACAAAATTAGCATGATAGCCATACAAGCAAAATATAACTTCAAACTGAGTTATGTGCAATGGACGATTGCATGCAAGCATATGAGCACAAAGGCTTCATTAAAAAATTCTGGGATCAGCAGTTGGATTCCCAGAGAAAGTTCAAAGGAACTGGAAATGAAGCATAGGAAGAGCAGGAGCATATGGTATGACCAACAAGATGCTTCAGTGAGGCCCTGTGGAAGAGAGGAACGAAAAAGTGTGAGGAGACAAGAGGTGAGAATAGTGACTTAATGAAGTAGCAGCAAAAACTGACAAAATCAAGGCTGTGATAGCATCAAGATGCTGGTGTGTCAAGTTTAACATCCTGTATCCTACAACAATTACAAAACAAAGAATTATATCATGGGGATTGTTGTGGGATATTTATACACTGTGTGAAGAAATTGGTGTGACTGGTGTAAGAAAAAACCTGAACAGCCAATGCAGCCAACAACTGAACAGGTAGGGGGTATAGGCAGGGGTTCAGGGCAGAGAGAGAACTGTGGGAGTAAAGCAGGCAGAGTCACAGGCAAGACACAAAGAAGAAACAGGAGGTGCAAGATGAAAGAGAGATAATGCCACATGGCAGAATATAGATTAATATAAATGGGTTAATTTAAGTTATGAGAGCTATTTGAGATAAGTCTAAGCTAAAGGCCAAACTCATAATTAATAGTAAATCTCTGTGTCATTATTTATGGGCTTATGGTCCTGAGGAAAATGTATAGTACAAGAAATGGATGAAATGAGTAATACAAAGGCCACATTCACCCTGTGCTCTTCAAATCAATTAACTTTTCAATATGAATATCAAAAAGTTCCAAATTTCTGGCTAAGAGAATAATTTTTGCCCTCTGTTTCTGACCTCATAATTGACACACCAAATGAATCTTTCAATATTTATTTGTCCATAAAATAAACATTGTTCGTTAATTTTAGAATGTGTTCTTTAATATGATATAGTTTATATATATAGTAAATGAGATAATTGATCAGATGTCTTTTCTGTGTATATAAAGAATGCTTTGCTTCACTTATATATTTGAGCTATTATATGGCATTGTTGAAGCAGAATTATAAGGTAATTTGATGTCTAAGGAGTATTTTCTTAAAACAAATTAGGTGTTAGATGTCATACAATTATGCAATTTCCAAAACTGCGTGTAACCTACAATGTTATAGGTTTCTGTGTTTACATTTATACAGTAGTTCCTTTCATTTATATGAGTGGGAGGAACCCAGCAATTTGCTTGGGTTTCTGCTTTCTTTGATCAGCTTACCTACTGAGTTGGCTTGGTCATTCCTTCTATGAAACATATTTGAGGAGTTTTCCAAGTATCATTCATTAGGAATACATAAATAAATACCTACTCTATCTTGAAACTCTCTCCTCTAACAACTATATTTATTTTCGATCATCTTGTCCTTTGGAATGGAATCAAAATTAGTGGAATCAACTATGAGCCATATGTGGCATATACAAAACTTATAAAAATAGTATCAGTAGGAAATAATATCTTAATAGCATAATAGTACCTCTGGTATCTTCTCTATAATTTCGTATTTCTTTCAGTAGCATTTCTTATAAGATCCTGTTGCTGTAGATACCACACACTTTAGTCACACGACTTAAAAATCTCAAGCGGCTACTGACATGGAAGCTTCCTTTGTCCTGGCTTTCATAGTTCTGGAAGGTGCTTTGCAGTATGTTGGAGAAGAAAAGTTATTAACAGTATTACCAAGCTGTGAACACTGTTAGCTACAGTGTTATTCTACCCGAAAAATAATCCCACTGGTGCAAAGTGACTTTCTGATTGGATTCAAGGCCAATCTATAGGCGAGAACTCATATCTGGTACTGTAAACCTGACCAAGAATCTCTGGTTGCAGATGTCATAGGTGCTAGGAGAGAACATACTATTATTGGTGTCCTAAATGGGGACAATATCAAACTGCCTTCCATATATGTACCTTAATAAGTATGGATTAGTGAATTCCCCAGCATTCATTAGAAAATCTTTTTGCATTGGGCAGTAGTTAACAGAAAGAACTATTCAATGTGCACTAAGCCACCGTGGGGAGCTCATCCCTAAATTGAAAACTGTTCCCCAAAGGTTTAAGGCACATCGCAGAAGGGAGCAAAGAATTCTGTGTCCTGGAGAGTGGGGAGAAGGGTTGGAAATGGGGTCTTTCTTTCAGATGCCACAGGGTTGAGGGTATCATAACACACTGCAACTTTTGTCATTGCATAAGATTGGGAACTTCAAATCTTTCCTTTCTGTAGTTTATCAGTAACCACTGACAAACCGTCCATGCTGCAGTGGAAGAACATCCTCCTCACTCTCATATAGGCTGCCCGTTGAACTTAGTGGGTCATACACAAAAAGCCATTAGGTTAATAAGGAAGACAGGTTTCAGAGAAAGGAGGAAGCAGAATGAGACAGATAATAAGGCTTGAGGAAGTTTAAAATGCCTTATATACATGTCTGAAACTGTCGAAAGAAATACGGTCTGTAAGTATTTTCTCAAATGCCATGAGTTGCCCTTTCATTTCTCTGTTGTATGTTTGTAATTTTTGAAGTTCAGTTTATGGTGAGTGTTTTTGTGTATGTGTGTATGTTCATGCTTTTCTTGTGTGTCAAAATCATGAAACCATTTTCACATAAAATAGCTGTGTTCATTATGTCTCATTTATTTACTTCCTAAAATCTGATTTAAAATAAATGTTTTCCTTTCCTTCAATTTTTCAAGGTTGACATTAAAAAAATAAAGTCTTGACTTGGGATTTATACTGTATCCTATTATTCCCATGGTTATCTTTATGTGTATATTTGAATCAGAAGCTTAATATAATATTCCATTTATTATTTATTCCATTAATTATTTATTCATTGGTTAATGATAAAATCACAATTAGCATTGGGCCAAGTGCTATGGTTACAAAAAAGGAAAGATCCAGTCTCTGGTTTCATGGACCTCTGAAAAAAAAAGGAGGAAGAACATTTCCAATGCAACCACTAGAATACGACCCCACATGAAGTTAGGTTCAAAATATTATTTGAGTACGGACTTAAAACTACTTGGTAGACTGTGATTACAAAGCTTTCGTTTTGTAGATCAGACAGAGAATTAACTATCTTTATGAATTTCTAAAACTAATGCAACAGTGACCTAATCAAAAGTTTTATAAAGCAGTAGTTTTTGTTTTCTCTTGGATAACAGCAGCTAATTTTAATTTCAATTATACCCACTGTGCTTTATGCTTCTTTTCATTTCAGAATGAATCCCATTTTCCTGAAAATATCCCAAGGCTTGGCCTTATTCTTCAATGATGAATCCTCTCTGTAGACACAATACTTGGTACCTGATAACTGGGGCATATTATTGTGAATAACGACATAAAATGACATGTGAGAAGTTTTAAAAACTGTGTCAGATCACTTAAAGCCTGTTGCAGCATCCTTATTAAAAATTTGTACTGTTGAAAAAGATGTGATCTACTTTTGTTTTACCAATTCAAGCAAGTATTTTATTTGCAATAAAGAAATTGAAGGACTATGAAAGTTGTGTGGAGCCATCTGCTTTTGAAATTACTCTCATACAGAGGTTTAATCCTCGGTGGTTTTCAACTACTTATCATTGTGGAAATGCATTGAACTTTTATGTCTTCAGTTAACTTATTCTACTCTATCATCCTATAACAAGTATATTGGTACCCTGTTTTAAATGGAGAAGGCATATGAAATACTCAGGACTTGCACTTGATAACGAAGCACATCACAGAGTTATGTCTGTGTAAACAACTCCTAGCAAATCTATATATCTGCTAAGAAGCATATGGATAAATTGACAGATGATTCCATTTAAAAAACACAACTTAAAAATTTAATGTAGTTAAGAGCAGGGGGGATTTCTATAAATAATGAGAAAGACTGGGTTTCACTATCACTTCAACTAGGATTAAGTTATGTGTTGCCATTCCTTAATTTTCCCCAGCCTTCTAGAAATAGGATTACCCAACAAGAGTCCCTTTTTTCTGTATGTGTTCCTACATGCATTTCTTACCCATATTCATTAACATAAGCAATTCATATGCAAAGTTGAATATTTGTATTAGGATATTTCTGCAAACTTAAAATTTTTTAACAGGAAAGATGTCTGCAAAAATTCAACTACTTCAATTTTGTATTTGATAACCAATTAGTGTGCTCTTTTCTAAGGAAGATTATTTTTCCTTATATCCTCAAATATAAAAATAAAGTTAAAAACTATAGCTACTTCTGAATCAATGCCTGCTTTTATTTGCTTCTAAAAGTTAATTTCCTATAAAATTTACATTCAGTCTTTTAAATAATTGTTACAGGAAAATATGGCCCAGTTTGGTCCTGCTGCCCTTCTCAGCCCCAAATAAACCCACAAATACTTATGATTATTGTTAATCTGTTGGCTGATGACTAGGCCTTTTTTTCTTTTTTTTTAATTAATTCACATTAAGAACAAGCTTACTTCACATGTCAATCCCTTCTCCCTCTCCCTCCCCTCAGCCCCAACCCTCTCCCCTAACCCTTCACAACTCCCCATCCCCCCTCTACTCCCCAGGCAGGGTAGGGCCCTCAACCCGGGCTCCCCAAAGTTCACCACATTATCCTGGGCCGGGCCTAGGCCCTTCCCCATGTGTCCAGGCCAAGAGAGCATCCCTTCACATGGGATGGGCTCTCAAAATCCCTTCTTATACCAGGGAAAAATACTGATCCACTACATAGGGCCCCATAGAGTGCGGAGGCCTCCTCATTGACATCCATGTTCAGGGGTCTGGATCAGTTCTGTGCTGGCCTCCTAGACAGCAGTCTGAGGTCCATGTGCTCCCCTTGTTCAGTCCAGCTGTTTCTATGGGTTTCACCGGCCTAGTACTGACCCATTTGATCTTCATTCCTCCCTCACTGCAACTGGGTTCCAGAAGACCAGGGCTTCTTATTGGCTAGCTCTGTCTTAATTATTAACCAATTTCTATCAATCTTTGTATTGCCACAAGGCTCAACCCCTATCAGGTAATCCTCAAATTATCAGCCCAAGTCTGGTCTGTTTCTGTAGTTCTATGTGCTGTATTCCTGGCCTACCTATCAAGCTTTAACACATCTTAATGTCCTCTGGCGAAAACAAGGACCAGAATTACAGGCTCAGTCACAGGTTTGTATTAGGTTAAGTCTAAATCTAAGCAGATTCCGATGAGAATGATGAAATAGCATTCTTCATTCCTTAGTAATGAAAATTTGGGTTAGGTGAAAGTACAATGACTCATCTATTGTTTTGAAAAATATGAACAATGACATTATAGAAGAAAAGATAAGTATATGACACTGGTTATAAAAGTAGTATTAGTAATATCTGTAATGCTCTTGATAGTTTTAGAATTCTTTGGTAAATATTGCTCTTTTGTAAACTGAATGTTTCTTAAACAGAGAGACTAAATTTATAAATATGTGCATTTATATGTTCTGGGAGATTTATCTGTTTTATTCAAGCACAATGCATTCAATTGGCATTTATATGATCCACAAAGTCAGTGATAATAAATTAGTGTTCTTTGAAAGCTAATGAAATACCCTTGAGTTGTTGGTAAATATATATTAGCTATAGCTTGATAGTATTCATTATATCAATATGCATTTAACTACAATTCACAACTTTTCCTATAGACCATACATTAAAATTTAAATACTATGAATAACCATTGCTTTATCTTTCAATTAATGCAGACAATATTGATTCATAAGGATGCATTAGCCAGGCAGAACCTTAAATCGAATGTTCTTTCTACATCAGGTACAGTCATTTAAACTTTACAGCAAAAAGGCAAAAAACAAATTAACAAACAAATGTATAAGCATTTATAACTTATATAAACAGCTATAAAAATAATTATTGTACAAATAAAAATAATGGAGTTCACAAGACTAAATAAAACAGTTTTAGGATAGACAGTTATGAACTTAGACCTATTTTCTTGTGCTTGGATATTTGACAGAAGAAAAATATTATCCCTTCATGTGGGACATGACAGTGATTTAGAGAATAAATAAAATGATCCTTACAGCAAAATGCTATAATGAAATTTTTGGAGTTAATAAAACTTTTTGATTACTGGGATAATTATTATATCTTAAGATGTAAGCAATATTCATTTATAATTTTTAAACATCATTTAAAATTTGTTAAGATAGCTATTATCTGTTGTGCTATTTCTCTTCAAATAATTTTAGACATGAAATAAACCAATTTTCCACACAGTTGGAAACTAAATGAAGGTTGAAAGCCAATGATATAAAACTATGGTTCAACTATTATGTAAAGGACATACTTAGGTTTATAAATTACATATTATATTAAGCAATACCTGTTCTTAGTTTCCTTAGTTGTGTTTTTATATAAGAAAAATATAACACAGACAAAGGTTGAAAATAACATCATTAGCATTTGAATACACTGTTTAACAGTAATACATGAATAGATGGTAAACAGCTATGATGGTTTATCACTACTGTTTGGTAAACAGCTATGACTGGTTTATCACTACTGTTTCATAAAATTGACTAATGAACACAGTAATTAGGGGCTGTGACAGTGCCAGTTGTCATCTTCAGTGGAAATTAAACTAAGAAATGCTTCTAGGTTTGTCTGGAAGGGAATTTCCTGGGAAGTTTGACTGAGGACCAGATCCTCATGCAAACAGGGTGATACCTTCCAGCAGTGACCCAGATGCAAGGAGGTCCAATGGAAGAGCCGTTACTATTTATCTGCTTGCTTTGATTCCTTGCTGTTGAGTATGATTGTCCTGTGGCTGCCACTACTGCAGCCCTTTTTTGCTGAAGTAAGATTCATGGCTTTTGAAAGTAGATAAGTATTCATAAGGAATCCCCTGGGCCTTTATTGCAATCTTGAGACAGCAGAGGTCTCCAGCTTCGTTGGCTGGGAAACATCCAGGTCCACAGCTTTCCAGTGTACAGACAACCAGTGATAGAATCCTCTCTGGAATTGTCTAAGACAAATCTAATTAATACTTTTTAAAATATATATTCATTCAGGAAATTCTATTCCTGTAGAGAATCCTTACAAATGCCAGGGCTTTTTACATGGCATTGTAAGTTCTACTGTATCTTCTGTTAGAATATGCTTGTGGTTGAAAACAAAGAGGTAAATGAAAAAGTACTTGTGCAGTGTGCACCAGGCTCTGGGCTTTTTTGTCTCACTAGTTTACTATTTTTATCTGAAATAATTGCAATAAAGGATAGAACATGAAAATATGTTGTTTTACTTTTGTGTTTATTTTATGCAAATTGTGTTTATGGTAGAGGAATTTTATTTGTCTTTCTTATTACTGTAGTGATATTAATATTAATATATGACAAAAAAGACATTGTACAGACAAGCTTGATAAAATTTAATTACAGTATACACTGAGATATAGGATTCCATTGGAATGGATTTGAAGACATTTTAAAACATTTTACTCAAATTAATCTATAGTTTTTCCTTAATCTTGAACAAATTTCCTATAGAATTTTTAGTAATAACAGAAAAAAAGATTCAAAAGCTTACTGGGAATTACAAAACCATAAATACGTCAGTTCTCCCAGCAGAATGATGGTAGAAGCCACACAGTTCCTGATTCTAAAATACATTTTAACCTATAGTTTGTCAATCCAGCAGGAATCAAGAAACTGAGCAAATCACTGTATGTCAAAGCCATGAATAAGACTGCTCCCAAACAAAAATAGCCTACAAGTATCATGTGACTTAGTAGCTTAATTATACCAAGCTTTCATGGGTGCAGGGAGCTAGTGAAGTTCCAAGTCAATGAACATGCATTGTTTGACATAGGTACAGGCATGTCAAGAACCAATACCTCAGATCCACAGTAGTGGCAAGGTCTTTACCAGCTGAGGCTCAGATACATAGCAAAGCTTCTATGGGTCTGAGTGTGAATGTTGACAGAGGAAAACTTCCAACAACAAAATGGATAAACTTTGAGGATATCAAACTAGGTATTATAAAATAACTACAGAAACACAATGTACACTTCTCTTATATAGGCATATGTCAGATGTATAGGATCAAAGATGAATGGTAGTTGCCGAGCCTGAAAACAGGTTGACAAAAAAATGATGTATTCAGTATGCAGTTAGATTTAAAACAACACTCACTATAACAAAATCTATTTCCCAGAAAAATGATAGAAGAAGATATACCTCCTAAGTGCACATTAAACGCCAAAATTGTGCTACATTTTGGGTTATTTTTGTGGTAGATTCCTAATTAGGTCCATTACTAAAAGTTGCTCATTCACCGGTGTGACAATGTAAAAAATGTGTGCATCATTGATATAAATGTATTTAATGAAGAAAGATAAAATTTGAATGCAGGATTACCTTTGTTACACCTTCAGATTACACGAGGAAAAAGCTTTTTCTTAAATGTTACCTACATATTGATTTTAACTCTTCTCTGGGGAAAATTAAATACCATAAAATTTGTGAACTGAGGGTCCCACTC